AAAAAAAAGAAAAGAAAAAAAAAGTAAAGCAGACAAGATAAACAAAAAGGTAAAAGATGTTTGTGGCCTATGTTTGCAAATAGCAGAAGTCTGCTAGAACTTGGGAAGGTTTCTTTCATCTTTTCTGCTCTTCTGAGAAGTTTGTCTATTTCACTTCTCTTTAACTTTACCCAGTAATTTAAAATTCAGGGTACCAAAAAACCTTAAAAGAAAGGCTGCGAAACAGATTTCAAAAGAATAATTGTAGTCCAGGCTGCAAGTGCAGGACTAAGAAAGAGTGCTTGCAATACGAACAGAGAGGAGGTCCCCACCCTTGCCCAGTTCCATAAACCCCTGAGACTCAGATCTTCCCTGACAGCTCACCCACGCATGTGGGCATGCATGTTACAACATCGGGGAACCGCACCATTTTCTCCTAGAGACAACTCTCAGACGGCTTTTGGTGTAAAAAGGCTAGAGAACAGAGATACATGGTATGTTTATATGGGAGGAGGGAGTGAAGGAAGGGAAAGAAATTGGGGGAGGGGAGAGAGGGAAAAAATGTAAAAAATTAAATGAACAAGAGAACCTGTTTCTCACCTCATCAATGTGAGAAAAGTTAACATCCTAAAAGCTGATATAAGAATTATTCTTACAACGAAAACATATATGGTAAGGAAAACATCTAAGTGAGTGTGGAAGGGAAGAGGGGAGGGACACAGGAAGGTGAGTCACTGAGAGCGTGAGGCAGGTGAAGCCAAGGCATGAAGAGATGGTTCAACCCCGCTAGCTCGGAAGTGGGAGGAGAGCGAAGAATCAAAGAAGAAAAGTAGGTCAAGCAACACAGCAGGTGGCTGGCACACATGCTCATTATTTCTATTTTGAAATGCAAATACATTTCAAACTTTTCAATCTTTCTCAAAGTTTTAGTAAAATATGCCACATGCACACAATGCCTCTTATGTATGAATTTTATAGAAATGACAGCAAATTTCATACTTGGATTAAAGTTGTACAGGTAGGGAAGAGTTTGTCTGGCATGGGTAAAAATCCATAATCTACACAATTTCCATGAAAGCAGAAAGTGGG